TTGTCACCACAGGAATAGAAGTCCCCTCCCGAGGAGTCACAAGACTACTTAAGCAAAGAAGTACGTGTGAAGGTAGTTTTTTTTCTATAGGAGACAAACGTACTGTTTTCAATGTAGAGCTAGGTTACCTGTAGATTTAAAAGCGTTAAATTGAATTTGGAACCGCACGTTTAACTCCATTCTACTATGACGATATTCAACGCGAATACTTTGGTGTTAGCAAATTTATTGAGTGAAGCGTCATGGGTTGAGTCGAGTGTTTCGAGTGGGTTGTCGTTCTGAAATACGGAATCACCGACAACAGCCTGTAAAACAGAATATGGCGCTGTATATACCCAAGCGGTGTGTTTACACCGTAATATGCCAAATTCCAAGCTCTCTGTTGTGCCCAAAACTTAAATACATTCTCTTTGTAGATTTCTTTCGTGTTTTCTGCACGGAATATATTGCCACACATCCTTTGAATATTGTAGTAACCGCAAATTTTGTAACCTGTAATTGTAGATTTAATTATTTAAACATGCCATCCGACAATGACTAAAAAGTACTATTCTATGAATATTAGCTTCCGCGGTGAGGCGGCCGTCAAATCAACTATTTCAGTCAGAGGGGGTTTATTATCATTTAATAACCTCAAATCAGATATAGTAATTTCCAAATGCATAGTACAAAAACGCTAAGCGTCAGACAGAAGTACCATCTTTCAAAGTCTCTTGGTATGACGCGGCTTGGGATCAAACCCGGGATCTTCCGCTCTACCACAAGACCACGCGTACGGAGGCCGTCTCTGATAAAGACTAAATCCGGCGATAATCAACCAAGATCATGATTTATTCTTGGCAATGCTTGTGATACTAACATGCCTGTTATATCCCTATTGTGATATATCAAACAAGTGCGTTCTATGAACACAATGTTATCGGAGGAAGAAGAATAGAGTGCGGAAGTTAATCATATACATGTATGTAATCATGTACATGTAGTTGCCTTGTGTTATATTATCAGGGGCATTTCTAAATAGAGTATAGAAAATATGCACATATACATTGCATTCGAAATTTCGATCTCTACCCAACGGAAGCAAATTCGGACAAATGAATTTGACATAGGCAATTGATATGTTCTGCTTGAAATACTCACGCAATTTTTAAATATTCAGTGCAATTATCCAAAGTGTGATATTATTCAAGGCGTCAGGTTTACCGTGTCACGCTTAGCATTGCCTTTCATACCCGTTTGGCAGAGAAGGATGCATTTGTGAGTGAGTTGATGGAGAAGTTGGACTGCTGCTGCTGCCCAACAACAAGGCATAGTTACTGAGAAACAGTCTGAACTGGAAGAGCTCCATAGTCTGGTTGAAACATGCATCAACCATGATATGTATCAACCAAGTCAGCGACCCTGACCATCCGATCCCGTTAGTCGCCTCTTACGACAAGCAGAGTCGCTTTTTAGACAAGCATGGGTTGCTGAAGACCTATTCTACCCCGGATCTTCACGGGTCCGGTGTGTTTCAAATTTGTTATACTGCCGTGCTATCATGTCCATGAATGCAAAACAAGTGGAACAAGACAATGCAGACTTTCTGACAAGTGTTGCTGAATTTACGATATCAAATGTAATTATATTGCCAGTAAACACATTGTGACATTTACAGGAAAAGCATGACTCTACACAAAGAGAAAATGCGCAATAGATTGACTGATCGTATGAATAGTACCACTAGTCACAGTGCTATCATACCAGGAAAATGTGGGCTATCTATTAACATGTCAGTGTAAACGTAACTTCAGGAAAAATGTTGTTTTTATATTGTGCTTGTCGCCACCTGTCTATATTTCGTAAATAACAAGTTACATATATCTGGTCACAAATCATTAACAAGACTGATGCAACTCGTGAATTATGTAGTTAGTTTTTATCAGCAAGGATACAGTTAAGACAACGAACACCCGGTGTCTAATCATTGACATGGTCACTTAGACCCCGAGACGCGGGGTCCGAGTAGCCCTACCTTCTAAAGCATGGCTAAGATCCCAAGCATTTAAACAATGTCTTTTTAACATTATTTTGATGATTTTCATATATATTCTTAACGTCTATGTTTGACAACCTACGTTCGTTAAATGTACAGATTTTGAAATGTACAAAACGCAAACACTCCGATTTTTACTATCCTATATTACTAAAATATCAGTGACAAAATTCATGTCCGTTACAATTCCCTATTGTGACTTGTACCGTTATGTTTCGTGTGTTTTTCGAGGTTACAGTTGGGTTGCCTTTACATGTGACTTGTGCCACCGTAGGGGCAGGATACGCCTACCTTTTCACAAACACCTAGTATCATCACCACTTTATAGAGATTCATAAACACTAATGACATAGTCGGAATCATACAATGGAGATTTGTTATTATTATTATTATATATATATAATGATTATGTTTATTTAATTATTTCAATGTCTTTGGCAGCCCTTCGATGCAGACACCTGCCAGCGACACACATGTGATGTCAAATTTGTTCTGATATCAAATTACTTGAAAGATGTGATAGTAATGTAACATATGCATACACTTATAACAGACTTATCTAAAAACTGTCTAACCACATGACATTTAGATGAATTATTAACCAGAAAATATCGGGTAATGAACAAAGATAATTATTGGAATATGAATATTTTATTTCAGAATGAACGTAAAAACGCATAACCAAATATGTTCAAATTTTAGAGTAATAATAATTCAAAACAAAGCAGAAAAACTAAATATATTTATCAAACATGCTGATTGATCAGTTGATAAAGGAAATATTGTGAAATGTTATGGAATAAGGATTTACTGGAATGTGTATACATGTAATATGGAATAAATATGGAACACAAATTCAAACTTTAGAGAAATAATTTCCAAAATAAAGTTTATATGTATACGTTCGCCTTTATAGAAACACTGGTTAGTCTCACACTGAATATACAGACGACTATCTTATTTCAAGGGAATGTGAAAAAGCATAACCAGATATGTTCAAAGCTTAGAATAATATTAATTCATAACAAAGCAAGTAAACTAAATATAATTATCAAGCAAGCTGATTGATCGGGTGATAAACGAAACTTTGAAAAATGTGGTGGAATGAGGATTTACCACAAAGCCATTGAAAACTCTATAGCTTTTGATGAGGGTACATGTACTTGTGAAAAGAGCAATTGCCCAACCCCTTTTTAAACATCGTGATAGTGCGGTGAGAGATATGTGTCCCCTTGTGACAATTCGGGTTCGAACCACTTTGGAGCAATGAATCAGAAAGTGAAAAACGCAACTGTGCACACTGCACCGAAACACAATCACTGTTGCTGGACACATGCTGCACGTGAAAAGCTGGATCCCATGTTCTTTAAAAGCACGCACGAAAATGGTCATCCGTCACTTGTTCAATATGCCAAGACTCGATCAAGCCAGCAGGAACCATGCGATCGGAATGCTGCAAGAAGGGGCAACTCAAGTGATCGTCGCCAGACGTGTTAACGTCCATCCATGCACGATAACTCGACTGTGGCATCATTTCAACCTTTTGTACCTTTTGGTACTTTTGGAACCCGTCAACGCCGCTGTGTTTTGGAAAGGTGTCGCTTTGGAGGAGGCGGTACAATGGTATGGGATGTACCATCAATTTTCGTTCCCACAGTCGGTGGTTATCCAAGGCAACCTCAACGTTCGAGATTATGTGAATAATACCCTTCGCCCAGCACTATTGCGATTTCTGGCTCAACATGGCGCCCTACATCAGCGTGTCTTCCAGCATGCCAATGCACGTCACGGGAGACTTTCTGACCAGGAACAACATCCTGACATGTCACCTGACATGAATCCAATTGAATACTTGTTGGACAAGCTTTGACGGAGGGTTCAAACTCAACAGGAACCGCCTCAGACAGTGCCAGAGTTAACACAGTCCCTACAACATCAGGGGCGGTCGGGTAGCCTGGTGGCTAAGGCGTTCGCTCGTCACGCCGAAGACCCGGGTTCGATTCCCAACATGGGTACAATGTGTGAAGCCCTTTTCAGATGTCCCCCGTCATGATATTGCTGGAATATTGCTAAAAGCGGCGTAAAACCATACTCACTCACCCCCACAACATCACTGGCAGAACATTCAACAACGTTTCCTGAGTTGTCAGTCCATGCCTCGGCGACTACAGGCATACGTCAGTGGACATGGTGGACATACCCGCTGTTCATCCTCGGTGGTCCCGGCTACGTTCTGAGCCTCTGTGACGTCATCGACGGGCATGTTTTTTACGGACTTGCTAACATTTCATGTGATGGGTGTGTTTGTCATTTTGGTTGGTTTCATTTGGTTTTCTTTCACTGTAATAAAATACACATCTTCTGAACACTGAATTGCGTTTTCAATGGCTTTGAGTATATATGGAACATGATAAAGAGACATAATTTACAACATAAACTTTACATATCATACTTAATAAGTGCAAATACGCACTGACTGATCTTATACCTGCGAATAATGGTACTATATGCTGCAACAATCTGAAACACTAGCTTGTGTGTTGTCTCTAGGCGTTAATGTATGGATCATCTCCACTAACGGAGTTGACGTACGAAGGTCCTTCACTTCTGTTTATGTGACCGTAGCTATGCTCGTCACCGTCTTCACTTGCATTACGTTGTATTCCATTGTAGATATTTCTTTCAACATCATAGCTGAGGCCAGAATATGTGTTGGTGGTGCCACTGGTGGGAATAAGGTCATCTTCTCCATGGGATCCATTGGCGATGCTCTGCACACCATAATGAACTGACGTTTCAGGTTTAGATGAATTACCGTGCGAGTTCCTGGATAGCCTGTTTACCATGCTGCAGCAATAGACGTTTTGCATGCGATCATTGTATAATATTTACAAGGTTGCATTTTGACTTCATAGCCAAGTTCAATAATATCACACGTATAAATCAAACAGTTTGATGTACTTACATATATATGATGAGCGCCACGATGATGAGACCCATGATACCACACACCACTGCTAAGGGTAAAACAATACTTCCATTGTCTGAAACGAGATACATGAAGCCTTTAACGTGAAGATTTCTGCTTTTGTCTGTGCCTTCATTGCACAACTTGGGCTTACAAACACACGAGCGCGCGCGTGTATACACACACACACGTGCATGCACACTCTCACACGAAATTATTTCAATATTTCGTATAACAATGTCATTGGTTGTTGTTATTACATGTACAAATAGATACCTGTGTATGCAGATGACAGGGCTGTAGAGGTAAGGGATGTTCTTGTGTCGGTTGATCCCTGTGCAGTGTTATAGGTAGTTCTTTCAGACAGTGTAGTGATGACGTTGGATATCCGTAGCGTTGTGGCTACTGACGTAGTTAGTGAATCTGTATGGTAAATGAAACACAATGAGTGATTTCCTCTGTGGTTAGTATACATGGCCGTCGTGGGGATTCCGGAAAAGAATACATGAGATTCCCAGAAACCGTCGCTGATCTTAAGAGGCGACCAAATGGATCGGGGTGGTCAGGCTCGGTGACTTGGTTGATTGTGTATCTACGTACCCTGATGGCGTGGATCGTTGCTCACAAATAACAATCACTGGATTGTCTGGTCCAGTTTCGATTATTTACAAACCGCCATCATATAGCTGCAACAATAGTACGGAAAACAAACACAGAGAGACCAAATCAAACTATTTATCGACCTCTTAACAGAAAAGGAACAATAGATAGGGAAAGAAAGTTGAGTTCTCGTTACTAATTAAACATGGGAAAAGTCGCCCTGTCATTTCATTCAGTCAGGCTCTCGGATTACACCTTCTGGAGTTGGAGTTTTAGCATATTGTACAGGGCAGTCTATGTCAGCTATTGCGTGTTCTAGTAATTAGATACAGACTCAGGAAAACTCAATGTAATAACACTGTTGCCGTGGACCACACTAGTTTTCTCAAATGCGTGTCATCACAAATGTTCATACTCATACCCACACAAATATAATGGTAATCCAACCGATCGCCGTTGACCAGGGTCATGAAACATCGTCATCAGGTGCCACTCACCCATAGAAGTCAAAGGTGTACTTGTTGTTGCTGCAGTGGTCAGTGTGTCCAAAGTACTTGGACTGGTTGTTATGTTCATTTGGCCTGAAGCTGTGAACAATCATTTCTGTAGCAGTCTCTAGGTCCGAGTTCCGTTTGATTTGAACTAAGTGATGCGACTTCTGGACACAGGGGGAAACTAGCTGACCATAGAGTCATAGGTCATGTCATTTATTTTTTGAGGACCTTGTTACCATACAAATAACTGTGAATACAGTATAATATATGTTGAAACCTACTGCATACCAGTAAAGTCATCATATTTTCTTAGTATATTACGGAAAATAGTTAAAAGATGGTTTCTTTTCATTATGGTTACACTGTACCTTTCTTTTGATGGAACCAGCAGTTCTGGAGAGGCTGTCACAATTGTATTTTTCAATATAATAAATTAAAAAAATCAGAAACTATGTCTATTTCATTGTCAGGATAGATTGGTTCATTGGTTATAATTAAACTGATCACACTTGACTTACTGAAGGTGGATTGAAATCATTACATGTTTTCTCGGATAGTGAGGCAAAATTCAAATCAAGACCGGCATCAGTTTCTATTTGTTAATTTATTGCTAAATTGATGGTTATCAAAAAAGGAGAAACGTCAAAAGATAAATTTGATGTATACTCTCATACATACCAGAAACACGTATCCAAACATTTGACCCAGTCTGATGATGGATATCGTAGACTATTACTATTTCAGCAGCTGTTCCCGGCAACACCCTGTTGTATTGGTTCACGTTCATGCTTGTCCGCATCTATCTCCCGTCACCTGAGATGTTAAGCATCCCTGCCTTCATCCGCTCTTCTACCAATGTTACTAGTATATTCTGCCCTGTGATCCTAGCAACACAGCTGCCGTTCACACCGACACTGTCTGGGAAACCCGGGGAATTGAGGTACACCGACCCGTTTACTGTTGTGCTGACTGAACTACACATATCCATACTTCCTGAAACACAATGCATATAACAAGTAGAACAACTTACATGTTAGTATTCAAATTAGTGATATATTGTATCATAACAGGTCATATAAAGCAAATTGCTCCCATGTATTCTTGATTTCGTTTTGACGCCCGGTTGATCAAGGCTGAAGCTGAAACAGTCATGAATCACTGGAAATCGTATAGCATTTTTACCAGGGTCACACTCAGGTCATGATGCAGGGGACAGTTGGCATGTAGTTCTAGTCAGCTGGCATGAGCGTCTAGTCAGGCTCTAGTCAGGAGGTTTAATCAGTTTGCAGTATCCTTTAGGTGGTAATTACAAAACATATACTATAATTGATGGCAATGGTGGTGAAAGATGTTATGAAAGCAGTCCAGTTATGAGGATGTCTATATACCGGTACTACTACCGGTACTACTACTACTACTAATACTACTGATACTACTATCTACTACTACTACTACTACTACTACTACTACTATGTATGCTAGTTTTAAATAATAAACTGTGATATTCTAGTAATTTTACTGTCCATCGATGACAGGTTTTACTTAAGTTCAAATATATGTTTTAAAATTGTAACATTTCTCGTCACGATATGGCTGAAATACTGCCGATGTGATGTAAAGCATTAACTCACTCACTCACTCACTCACTCACTCACTCACTCACTCACTCACTCACTAGTAGTAGTAGTAGTAGTAGTAGTAGTAGTAGTAGTAGTAGTAGTAGTAATAATGACAAGGAACAGAATTTATGAATGCCAACTTCTTTATCATGAATACAACTTTTTCGGAATATATGCTTACTCCTTCATCAGGTGAATAATAATAATAATAATAATAATAATAATAATAATAATATAATAATATAATAATAATAATAATAATAATAATAATAATAATAATAATAATAATAATAATCTGTGTAATTATCTGTAAAATGATGCCTGTTACCATATGTGTATCTCATACGTACATGTAACTATGGAAGAAACTAGAGTTGTGATGATGCGAAATAATTGACACAATAGATGCATAAAGCCACAATTAAATATGTGGCTGATCACGATACGTTCGATATTGTCCCATGTGACTTTATTTTCATATCCTAAAAGCCTGACACGATGGATGTTTTAAATGTAGTTACATTTTTGCCTCAATCAGTTGTGAAATCGTGGTGGTGGCCTCAAGGAACTACACGCTCACATCGAGATGTAAAGTCACGGACGACGAAGATACAATCCAGACATGCATAACCAGTAACAGTTATCGCATGGTGCATGATAGGTTAAACCGCGAATCCTTTATAACACAAGTGTTATTTTATTCTCTGCAGAAAATATACACTTGTTTGTTCCGTTTACTGACTTGCAATACATGTGCGTGTACTGTATTTCAGTTACATGTTGTTATGTTCCGATCTCCAAGCAGACACTCCATCCACGAGACCATCGAGGTAGTCAGTCATGAGGCTCATCAGTAAGTCTTGCAATGACATCAACAAGCTAACATACCATGTTGCAATGACATCAACAAGCTAGCATACCATGTTGCAATGACATTAACAAGCTAGCATACCATGTTGCAATGACATTAACAAGCAAGCATACCATGTTGCAATGACATTAACAAGCTAGCATACCATGTTAGTCTTACGTTATTCCTGCAGTGTCTAGCAGCAAAATTAACAAATTATCAGATGTTTGTTTGTTTGTTGTTTAACGCCGCACCCAAGATCAGCAATATTCCATCTACATGACGGCGATCTGCAAATAGTCTGGGACAGACAATCCAACGATTTACATCGTGAGCATCGGCCAATGCAATTGAGATACGATGGCCTAAAATCAACCAAGTCACTGATCAGTAAGCCTGGCCATTTGATCCTGTTAGTCACCACTTAATTGCTGAAGACCAATTCTAATGATGATAGGTTCTTAGGATGCGACTGGATCACCCGTATGCCCCCATTTTAATCTTAATCTTACTTTCATCTCACTTACACTCCATCGCATCAGACTAATAGAGCCAAGTAGTATTTTTTCTGATTTTAATCAAACCGAGATTTAACACATATATTTGTAAAAAAAATGTTGACAATAATATTTTTGTGCATTATGCCAAAGCATGGTGTGCGCATGAATGCACTGTATCCGATAATCGGGAAAAGCTAAATAGTGTTCAAGCTTTACAACATCCTGTATATTATGGAATCTTGATCGGGCAAACCAGTGCACGATAACACGAGCCACGTGCCAAGATGTAGAGTAGGATAACAGTTGGTTAGACAGAACAACACTTTGTAACCATCCTATCATTGCGATTTGTATGGATGTTAGTGTGTTCTACTCCAGGAACCACCACGGAGGAAAATACATGCTTCAATGAATGTATTGTGCGATGTGCAGACAAAAACAAGATTTGCAAAGAATGAGGTAAGATGTCAATTAACGGCAAAAACTTACTGTGACTAAATCAACCTTTGATAGAAAAGGCTGCTGTTGTAAACCTTACTACACCCCTGTGCGTATTTCAGACGACATGTCGCGGCGTCTCCATCCCCAAACGCCTCTTGCTCGACATGTATCCATTCACCGGCAGACCACTGAAGCTGTAGTATGAATGTCCTCGACAACACCTCTATACATCTGTTCCCAGTTCTGGTGTCACCTTTGAATATAACGTAACTTGTTCACTGTCAAATATACTTCGCTAAATATTATCGAAAGGTTTTTTACGACAGTCTCAGGTAAATACCACATTGAAACAAACATGCTAGCTGCAATCAACATTGATCTGGAAATGAGAGGTGCATGAATGTATTTATGACAATTGTCAATGTAATACTGTGTGTCGAAAATGAGACAATACTGAGGAAATCATGATGTTTGAATATGTAACTGTTGAGTCGTTCATTATCGCATTCCATTTGTCACTAGACATTGTGTGTATTTATGTATTTTGCTGACAATTAAATTATACAAACGAATCCCGTGACATTAAGTGATGTCATGACTGACATTTCTCCATCTTAGTCTAATATAGGCTATTGAATTAATATTGTAGTAATGGTCTCAAATCTATCAGAAATAAAAAAAATTGCATTGCGTAAATAAAATTATTGATGCGAATTTCCATATCTGATAGACTGTTTTGATACCACCTTATGTTTCCTTGACAAATCGTGTAGCAACACTAGAAAGTGTAAATGCAAATGCGCTGTTACATTCAGTGACATCAAGGGAGTTGGACATTTAAGCTATTGTGTTTTTGCACGTGTGTACTTTTGGTCACAACAAATCACAACTACCAAGATCAAATGGCAAACATTGTCGCAATTTCTCGATTTCACTCAAAGATTAGTAAGCAAACACGTCCGGGAGTGACACTTTTAACATAGTGAACTCTGATGAAAATGCAGTTGCCAACACGAACAATATTGGTACATTTACTGAAGTACACATACCAATGGAATGTCTATCTGCCTATTTACTCACCGTATGCAGCCAATAAGAAATACACACAAGCCATAAACACTCTTTCAGTATGCATAGTTGTTAAATGTCAGTCATCAGAAGTACACTACAACATTTCTGTATGTCCGTTGATACACAACAGGTCGACTCTATCCAGACATTACATGTCATTAAACTGTTGTGTTCCTATTCTGTATGTAACAAGTCCTCTGTCGGAAAGTCCCACACCTTGAATCACAGACAATGTAAAAAGCTTCACTTCAGAACACTTCAAACCTCTTAGCACGTAATCACTCTCCTGGGACATCTTAAATCTGTCATTGTGTCCCAGGAATCATTCGGGTATACTGGGACATCTAACATCGTAATCGTACACATATCACAAAGACAAAATGGTAAACTGAACAAACACAATAAACGAAATGACATAACCAACACAGTGACAATATATACAATCCTCACAAGGTAGCTTAGAGCTATTGATAGCACATATGCATTAGTAAAACGTCCCTGGTGGCCCACGAACAGGGAAGTTGACTGCACACATGTGTGTTTAATGTGGCGTGACCGCCTCCGTGGTCTAGTGGTAGAGCGTCCG